CGGCGGGGGCCCAGCTCTCTCTCCCCACAGGGAGGGCTGGTACGAGGGAACCGGGGGGCCGTGCTAGGCTGCGTGGGGCTCTCGGCCCAGGGGGGATCCCAGCCCATGATGCAGCTGAAGGTGACGGCCCTGATGAGCGCCCGGCTCTGTGTGAGTACTGGGGGGCGGGGGGAGCTGCAGACACCCCCTTTTGGGAGAGAAAGATGTAGGGTGCCTGGGACTCTGCTCCATGCCTATGGGGACTTGAGGGGCTGGGCCCGGACGCCTGGGTCCCCTCATTGCTGCCCATGCCAATCTGTTTGCAGGCTGGCAGGCGGGAGCCAGCTGAGGCATGCAAGTGAGACCCACTGAATAGGGGAAGGGAAGGGGGTGTGGGGGAGCAGGGGCAGGAAGGGGGCTGGGGAATGGGGGAGGAGGCAGTGGTGTGGGGGGCTGAGAGGGAGAAGGAGCAGGAAGGGGAGGGGGAGGAGGTGGTGGGATGGGGTGCTGGGGGGGAGTGGGATGACAGGAAGGGAAGGGGTAGGGGGCATGGGAGGAGGAGGTGGTGGGATGGGGCGCTGTGGGGTAACTGGAAGGGTAGGGGGATGGGGTGTGGGAGGCATAGGGGAGGAGGTGGTGGGATGGGGAGCTGGGGAGGAGCAGGGTGGCAGGAAGGGAAAGGGATGGGACGGAGGGGAGGCGGTGGGGGGCTGAGGGGGAGCAGGGGCAGGAAGGGAAGGGGATGGGACGGAGGGGAGGAGGTGGGGGGCTGAGGGGGAGCAGGGGCAGGAAGGGGGATGGGGCGTAGGGGAGGAGGAGGCAGGATGGGGGTGCCCCCAGCAGCCCCCCGACTCCCCCCATGTTGTCTCCCCCCAGAGGACGGTGTCGCTGCGGCTGGGGGAGCCGGGGGGGCTGTCGGAGTTTAGCATGGACAGAGTCATGGCAGTGATGGGTGGAGAGGTCAGTGCTGTCCCCTCGCCCCCGAATCCTGCCCCTAGGGCGGCCCCATCACCGAGACACAGGGGGGCTGGTTCTGTCCAGGCCTTTAGCCAGGCCTTGAGTGTGACGCTAGGGCCCCTGCCCCACACTGCTCCCTGCTCCCACCCCACACTGCTCCTACCCACCCTTTGGCCCCAGCCAGCATCTCTCCCCATGGAAGGTCTTGGGGGTCAGCCTGGACCACGCAGCTTCTGCCAGTCCCAGGGGCGCTTGGGCTCACCCCAGAACCCGCTGTGGGCCCCGGCCCACCCCCCCCTCAGCCCCCCCCCATCAGGAGCCCAGCCCTGCCCCACCCCGCCCCCGGCTTGCCCTGTGCACATTCCTTAGAGCTGGACCAACCCTGCCCCTAACGCTGCCCCTAACGCTGCCCCCAGGAGGCGAACTTCTCCAGCCTGAGCCCAGCCGAGAACCGGCACCTACAGGCCTCCCTGCTGCGGCTGGACGGGGTCACCCAGGTCAGAGCTGGGGCCACGTGCAGGAGCTTGGAGGGGGGGCTCTCACCATGTCTCCCCCCAGCGGGCGGTGGAAGTGTGGGTGTGGGTGTCGGGGGTAGACTCATAGAATATCAGGGTTGGAAGGGACCTCAGGAGGTATCTAGTCCAACCTCCTGCTCAAAGCAGGACCAATTCCCAACTAAATCATCCCAGCCAGGGCTTTGTCAAGCCTGACCTTAAAAACCTCCAAGGAAGGAAATTCCACCACCTCCCTAGGTAACGCATTCCAGTGCTTCACCACCCTCCTAGTGAAAT